GGCGAATGCAGTTTGCCTCCGCAATGGGTGCCCTCCATCCAAGCCACAGATGTGGCTTGCAGGTTTCAAACCCCAGGGCAGGTGGAGACAGCTCCACCTTGCCTGGTACCAGCCATACTAAACCTCTGCCGTGCCTCCCCCCGATACCCCACAGCCCGTTGGTGAGCCTTCCCCAATTCCCCTTCCTACCCAAAACGGGTCCTGCAAGGGACCCCACAGCCCCATCCTCCCCACCCCTGCTCCCCCTGGCAGCCTGACCTGCCGGTGCTTGCACACGAAGCAGACCTGGGCTGGAAATGCTGACAGTGCTCTTGACAGTTTATGGTCACAAACTCTATTTTCAGCCTAATAAGTTTTTTATACGGTTGGAAAGCTGTCAGTTGAACATCAGCCAGGCACAAAGTACCTGCCATAAAGTGCCTGGACTGCGACCAAACGGGAAAGGTGCTGCTCTGCTTTAGCAAGTTCTGGATCTCAGCCGCTTTAGTTGGTTCGTTTATTTGGTTTGAGGATCCTGGCTTTAATAATAAAACAATAAGACAAAATAATAATGCCCCTGCTTAATAATTTGTGGAAATATTTGCTAAGCCTGTTAAATCAGAGCTGACAGCCAATTTGGGCTGAGGGTGGCCCAGCTCGCCTCAGGGGTGCTGCTGCCGGTGCTGGGGTGGACCGGTCCCTGCAAGGAGCCACCGGACCCCAGTGACGAAGGAGAGAGGCTTTGGGAACGTGTGTGGAGAAGGGTCCCGCTCCCAGGGAATGTTAATCTGGAGGTGATCTGCCACAGCCGTGACCGCAGTCTCACCACAGGAACACGGCCGCGTCAAACCCTCAGCCAAGAGCAGAGCGGGGCCTGATCCTGAGCACGCCTCTGCTCCCACCGCAGCAGCGTCGCGTTGCTAGAAATGACTTTCCTGCATCGCAGCGCGCGGGGCTGCCGGGAAGTTCGGGGGGTGGGGGTGGGCAAAGGGTCTGGGAATGAATTGCAAATATGCGAGGCTCTTTCAGAGGGTGCCCCGGTGACAGCTTCGCCCCTGTCCTGGCACTGCCACCGCAGGCACGGGAAAGGTCCTGGACCGCTGCAGGGTTCCTGTGGGTTCCCCTGGGCGAGCGACGGGCTCCGGTGTGCTGCGTACCGCATCGCAACCCGCGCCGGGAGCCCCGCGGGTGGCTTCAGTGCCGAAGGT